CAACAACATCGGTACAACCGCCACCATCAACATCAACACGACCACCAACAACAACATCAGTACAACCATCATCATCACCAAAAACAGTACCACCTCAAGTATTAAAAAATTTAACATGTACATTAACAAAAAAAATCTTTGCTGATCCAGTTAAAGCAAGTGATGGAAAAACATATGAACGTTTTGCTATTAAAGAATATCTCGTTGATAATCGTCTTTCACCACAAACAGGTGAAGAAATGAACGATGAATTTATTGATGATATTGCAACAAAAGATCTCATAAGTAGACTTCGACAACAAAAATTACTTCCATAATTTTTCTCCTCATTTTTTTTTTGTTTTATTTATTTATTTATTTATTTATTTTATTTTACAGAATCAAGAAAGATTAATATTTTTTTCTAGATTTCAAAAATAAAAAACGAAAAAATTTTCTATGTCATCACGTGATATACCACTAACAATTGAAATGGTCATTTCTTGGGCAAAATCTGGTCATGAATCAGATAAAGTTTATCGTTTTATATTTCTTCATCCTGAAGATTTATTTACTATTCCACAAAGACGTAGTTGGACAATTGGACATCAAGTAGTTTATAATGGTGATGTTAATCTTTTAAAACGTATTCTTGCACTTTTTTCTGATGAACAAATTAATATTCGTACATTATCAAGAGATCAAAAAACTCTTCTTGATGTTGCTAAAGAACGACATAAAATTTATCCTTCTATGTATACCTATGTTGAACATTTATTTCTTCAAGATGATTTAATTCAAGCAGCTAAACAAAGCAATTGGGATTTAGTTCATAATATTCTTAATAAACATCCTAAATTATCTAATGAAAAACCTCCTTATTCAACATATTTTCTTTTACATTATGTTGTACAAAATGGTGATAGAAGAATTTTAGAAAATTTACTTAGACGTCATGAATTTCAAATGAATGTTTTAAGTGCACATAATGAAACATTAATAGATATGGCTAAAAGACTTGGAAAAACTGATATGTATTCAATACTTGAGCCAACAAAACAAGAAGAATTACATTCAAAGTCAATTAAACATTCACTACCATTATCACTATTCAGTAGTAAAAGTAAATCAAATAAAAATCCGCCAAGTTCTACTTTTAGTCTTCTTCCTCATCCAGTATTACATCCTACTTCTGATTTACCATATCCAACAATAGATCCATTTCCTAGTGCATCTCTTTCGAATGTTACACTTAATCTTAGTTCAACTGGCAATTTCACATTTACAAAAGATAATAAATCTATTACAATTCAAAATGAAGTATCTCCATCTAAAGAACAACAACAACTAATAAATACAAAAAATGAACATATTCATTCGATGGAAACGATGTCTAGTCAACATTCAGATGCAAATATAGACAACCAGTTATATCACCAACATCAAAAGAACAATTAACAAAAAATTTAACATGCTTTCTAACACAAGAAATTTTTATTGATCCAGTTATTGCTAGTGATGGTCAAACATATGAACGAGAAGCCATTACGGAATGGGTTAATTTATATCATTGTTCACCAATGACAGGTGCATCAATGGATGCAGAATTTAACGATAATACTGAACTTAAACAAATCATTCAATCAATGAAAAAATAGAATTAAATTGATATTATTGTTTTTATTTTTCGTACTGCTACTGTGATATTTGTTTGATATAAGAAATGAACCTGCAATGATTTCAGTCTTTTTTCTATCTATTTTAATTTTAATTGTAATTTTTATATACATAATTTTTTCACTGATTAATTTTCATCTTTTTTTTTTTTTTATATACAAGATTTATGATAAATTAATTTTTAATAAAATTATTTTCAAATTAAAGTTTTAGATTCTAACGTCAGATTAGTTAAAATGGAAACGATCAAATATTATAGCAACTTATGGGAAGAAACTAAAGAAAATTATAGTGGTATGTTAATTTATCCTATTAGTATAGTCGAAACATATAGAGAAAACTAAATAATAACTTTTAAAAGATAATGATGATTTTCATTCAAAAATTTATTTATTCTGTAATAGAATAATCTCTAAAATCGTAACTGTCTTATATTTATTCAATAAAGATTGATCACTATTTTAGTTATTAATAAAATTTTATATAAATAAATATTAATTTCAAAGATCATGTTTTTTCATATTTAGATTAAAAAACATTCATTTACACATAATGAAACCTATGACAATAAGGTTTTTTAATGCCAGCATTTCGATTATTAAAAAATAGCTTGATAAACACAAGAGTTGTATAATGTTGAATTACTCTAGATACTCTGAAAAACTCAGTTCTAGAGATCTTGGTTTCATCAAGTTATTATTGGAAAACCAGCGTAAGAGTTGTGACATAAAAATGGATAAAGATTTTGACTATGTGTAGTTCCATTTAAAAATTCTAGAAGTTAAAAAAAAAGTATTTTTGATACATTTTATCGACGACTCTTCAAACTACAAAATCTTTAAACAAAGTTTTTCCTGAAGATGCTTAGGTTTTTCAAAAAATGAAGTTTATTCGTTGTGAATAATGTGAGCGAATACGAATATAACAGGTGGCTTGTAAATAATGGGACAGTTTGATTTTTCATTTTTGAAGAACGGAAACCCTATTCAAAAGCTATGAATGTCTTATCAATATATAATCGGATGTAGAATTTAATTCAGAATAAAATCATGTAACATTTAAACCGAACGGCAAAAAACTTTAGATTGTCTTCAATAGCATAGAGCTGGAAGAAAGAGTCTTTTGCGTCATTTTCTAATTTTTGTTTGAATTATTGTTCTTTCAATTGGTTTTTCTAAAAATTCGAAATATCGCGAGTTGCAGCATTTCATGGCGTATCTTGCAACATATTACGAATTTCGACAGACAATCGATATCATTTTTTTTCTACTATCACGTTCTTATAAAGATTTTATTAATTCTACACTTTCCTCTTTAGTATGCTATTCTATAATCATCTTAAAACTTTTTGTTTTATTAAAAAATAAAGTTTAAACTAGATTTTGTTATCATATCATAGATCCACGTACATCTGATCTGTTCATGATGGATTCTCCAATTCCATCAACTTTGATCTGTTTAGGATATTTAATAGTTGTTTGGATGGGACCAACATTCATGGCAAATCGTCCAGCATATAATATTCGTCAACTATTATTAGTTTATAATGTTTTCATGGTTGCTCTATCTGGTTATCTATTCTATGAAGTAAATTAAATAACAAAAAATTTCTTTTGATTAAAAAAAAAAAAAATTTCTATTTAGTTTCTTGTTAGTGGTTGGATAAATGGTTATTCATTAGGTTGTCAACCTGTCGATTATTCTCGATCACCTATGGCTATGAGAGTAGAGAAAAAAAAAACAAAAAAAAATCTTCGTTTTTTTATAAACAATATTTTGTTTTTAAATAGATGGTTCGTGTTTGTCATTTATTTTTTTTATCAAAATTTATCGAATTATTTGATACAATATTTTTCATAATGAAAAAAAATTTTCATCAAGTAAGTATTTTACATGTTTTACATCATGGTATAATGCCAATAAGTTGGTGGTTTGGTATTCGTTTTGTTCCGGGTGGTTTTGGAACATTTCATTCTTGTATTAATTCATTTATACATTTTCTTATGTATTTATATTATGGACTTGCTGCACTTAGTCCTTCATTTCGAAAATATATATTTTTAAAAAAATCTATGACATGGATGCAAATGGTTTGTAAATATATACCTTAAATTTCAATTTTCTCTTTTTTTTTTTACTTTTAAGATTCAATTTATGCTGGTTATGATTCATACATCACAATTATTTTTTATACAATGTGATTATCCAATTTTATTTGCTTATTGGATATTTTTCTATGCTATAATGTTTTTACTATTTTTTGCAAACTTTTATGCGCAGTCATATATCAAAAAATCATTATCAGCAAAATCAAAATCTAAACAAATCAAACGAAAAGAAAATGGTTATGAAAAAAATGAATAAGATATCATAGATATATTTATTCTATTTCTTCCTGTTTATTTCGAAAACAAAAAAAATCAAAAATGAGAAATAGAGAATGACAAGAATAAACTAGTTTGACATATGCATTTTGTCGTCCAATTATTGTAACTTGGAATATTCTTTTTTCACCTCGAACAAAATAAAAAAAAACAATAATAATATATCTATCAAGTCTGCTTCTTTTTTTTTTTTTGTCTTTTTCTTATTGATTATAATAATAATGTTGATGATAATAATCATAAGAATGTGATGGTAACCAAGACCAATTAGTAGAATGGGATGGTAATGATTGAGGATTTGATTGTTGTAGTAATTGTGCACGTTGTTCAAGTTCATCTGCTAGATGAATTTTTTCAGGTTCATTAGATGATAATATTGAATTTTGTTGTGTTTGATTTCGTATAAGATAACGTTTAGCACGTTTTGGATGTGTATTTTGTGTTCGATTACGTTTATTTGAAAACCAAGCTTTTACTTGAGATTCTTTAATACCACCATTAGTTGCTAAATAATCTAAATCATTACGATTTGGATATGGATTATCTTCATGTTCTAAATACCATGTATTCATTAAATGAATAGCTTTTTCTGGTAATTGTTTATTAGATTTTATTGTTGTTGTTGTTGTGGCACGATATATTCTTGTTGTATTGTCATTTTCTTGATTGATTGAAGCAAATTCATTCTAAAATAAGAGAATGACAAAAAAAAAAAGAATTTTTTTGTCTTGAAATTCAAATCTCTCAGAAATTATCGAACTAAAGACTTTTTAACACTTGATATACATCAATCAATCATTAAATCAATTAACGCATATTTGATAGTCTCTTTTTCAGTTTTGATTTTTTAAAATGATTATTTCCTACAAGCTGATTTCACAATCATTACTAAAACGATATGATTAAACATCTTGAATTATAATGAGTACCAAAAAACTCATCATGTACAGTAGCGAAGCCAGAATTGTGAGTTAGGGGACTCAATCTCCATCACTGATTATGTACTCTCAACACTAAAATTTCACATTAGCTCAATATAACAATTCCAGCAATTTATTGGTCATATGAGTATCGTATATTCAAATAATAGAATATATAAAATTCTCATACTAATATTTCTTCAAAAACGATCTTGACCTTCTCTCTCTCTTCCTGTGTCTTACTTCATTTGAAATCTGTTGATCGTATTGAGCTGTATAAAACATGATTGATGAATGAATGATTGAGTTTGTTGAATATATTATTCTTTTTATTTAACTAATGAATGAACATTTATTCATATAACAGTATGTATTATACACATGATCGAAAAAAAAAAAAAAATATCGAATTATTTTCTTTTTTGTTTTTTCTTTTCTTTTTCACGAAATTTGACCAATTGAAATAATTAAGAATGTTGACGAAGAGAGAAAATTATTAGCTGCGCACCAGGTAAATTGATATCCGTAATGAACACATCCTACCACCCTAGATTGATATATTATGTATAGAACTGATCGAATTTTTTTTTTGCTATGCTAGACAAATTTTAACACGGCAATTAGGAAAAGTCTGATAATCATTGGAGGCGTAGTTTGAATAGGTGTGTATGTGTGTGTGAAATACATATTTTATTAGAATAAATAAAGACACAAACGAAAAATAGTGGGAATGAAATCCTATTAAATAATACCTTATATGGATAATTTATTGCTTTGTATTAAAAAGATAAATGAGGTAAGTTATGATAATGACGAAAGAATGATTACATGACAGTGATTTATTTATGTAGTTTACTTTTTTCCCATTCGAAGTTTTTAGATTTGCTGAAAAATATTTCCGATGAGGTAAGACAAATATTTTGTGCGTTTAGAGATTTTGTTCGAGAGTAGTAAAAAAATCTTCAAAAAAGCCCAAAATAACTAGTTTGAACAAGAAATTTTTGTATCTTCATTATTGAGATTCGAAAAGTTGGGATCTTTATTTATATATCAGCTTGAAGATCAGCAACTATCCTACAAAATGCACTATTTTTTGTCTTTCGACAAGGCACTTTAATTTTTCGTTTTTTTTTTTTTTTGTAAATACTCATTTTTGAAAACTCGACAACCGTTTTACGTTGAAAGGAGCTCGTGAAATAATCAATATCACATTTTGTAGAGAACTATCCGCTGTAGAAAACGACTGACTTCGACTAGCTTATTCGAAAAGGAACTTATAGGGTAAACAAAAGCCTGTTGAATCATCCTTAAAAATATTTTTTCAGATCTTTCAAAAAGTTCCTCACTACTCTTGAAACTCATATTCAAATTCTGGTCGCAACTGATACCGAAATGCTTTCAAGCAAACCAAAACAAAGAAACATGTTCATGGGAAACGCCGGCCTACGAGTTCTTCTGAAACTAATTTTTGTATACTTTGTAACAATTAAAATATTATTTATTCTTGAATTTGTACATTTTCCATTAAACTTAAGCAGTTTACAAAATTGTTTCTAATGCTTGACATTACATTTAATTAAAAGGTCGATTTTACTCGAACGAAAAAATTGCCCTCTAATGATACCTGTCATTGGAGCTCATATTGTACCCACAAGGATGTCTCACTGAAGCTAACAAAAGCCAATATAAGACTTCGCCTCCAAGGGTATTTGAAAATAAGTTATGATCGCTTCACTGCATATACGACTCATTTCTAGGTAATGTACGGAAAAATAAAAGAAACGAAATTTCGATGTAAAATTTTACCTATGAATAGGTTTAATGACCCGTAGCATATCTTGAAAGTTTCAGTTAGAAAAAGTGTTTTGTGGTCAAGATATTAAATTTTTAAGTAAACTTGGTTTGTATGACATATTTGTGTTAAGCAACTTTGTTGTTCCAAATTTAATAACACAATAAAGGAAGATTCTTTTCGATTAAAACTTTTAGAATATTCTACAAATCAGTAGACCTATCTATGGGCAAAATTTTGTATTGAATTTTTTTTTCCGTAAATACCTAAAAATGGTTCAAAAATGTAATAAAACAATTATAACTCGTTTTCAAAGATCGATACAAAAGAGGCCTTTTTTCGGCTTTTGCTAATCTCAAAAAGACATTCTTATAGAAGTAATATGAACTCAAACAGCAGGTATGCAATTGAGTTCGTATCCTTGTAAAGATGAATAATTAAGAAAATTTTTATATAGAGATTGATGACATTACATAGTAAAATCTTAAAGTTGTTCTTGAAATATTCTAGAAGTAAATATTAATTATAGATTAATTTCTCTTGAGAAATTAATACGAACAAGTCTACGTGTCAATATTAAGATATTAGAGAAAAAATATTTATTTTGGAATATTCGGGTTTCTCTTATGTCAATTTAAACTAATTGAATTGCCTCGAGAATATTTTATTTTTCTTATAATGAAAATTTCAATTTTTTTTCGAAAAATAATAGAATAAATTCTTACATATTCAATAAGAAAATGAATAATTTCTGATATGATCATAACTTATTGAAATTAATATAATATTATTGAAGAATCGAGATTGAATAGTGACATATAATATATAATCTATCTTTATATTTTTCTTTTCTTTCTCATTGATAATCGGAATATAGAAACATACAAAAACAGAGAAAACGTCAAAAACTTCTAGACAAATTATTTTTTACATTAACCAAAAATAAAAAAACCAAAACAAACAATTAGTAATGATAGTCATGATAAAGTACATCAATCAAATTCAATGATTTATCAATATATCTTTAGAAAAAATTTTTTCTTTCTTATTTCTTTTTGATACAGAAGAAAATTTTATTAATATTACATTTTTTCATTATTATAAATGTGTTAGATCGATTATAGTTATTCATTGTTTTATCAATTATAAGATAGAAGAATTTCGAAAGAGTCCGAAAACTATTATAATTTTCCAAGAAACAAAATTTCAATTAGTAATACTTTTCCCGGCATATATAGATTATTTGTCATACTCATATATTAATTTATATTATTGTTAGTTTATTGAAATAGAAATGTATTTTGATTTTTAATATTCAAAATTGACAAACTCTGAAATAATCCTTATTCTTCATATTAGCGAGAGGATCGCTCGAAGTAGTTCATCATTTTTTGAGCATATAGAGATGATTTGTAGACTTAATTAATCTCAAAAGAATTCTAGTTCATAGATCATCTCTTCAGAATTATGAGAATTCGTTGAAGTATTGATAAGAAAAGTGAACAAATGATTCTTTTTTTAACTGAAATTTTGTAATTATATAAGTTAATTTTATCATCTTTGAAAATTTTCGTCTAAACAATTGATTCTTTCTTGAGATATGTAACGTTCGAAACTTAAATAGATTTTAGACATTGTTAAAAAAAGTGAGAGCTTTTTAAAATATTCAATATTTCAAGAAGAAAGTAACCATTTTGAACGGCAGTTTTAGGATGATGAGATTTACTTAAAGATAAAATATTCCTTTATTCTATTTTCGTCTTCATACTACATTCTATAGAAAAATTTCAACAAAACTCTTGTGAATTCTATAGAGATGGTTTATAGACTAGAATCCTTTTGAGAGTTATTCTAATCTATAGATTCTATCTTAATATACCGACAAAATGTATTCTAAAGCTGTGAATCTCTTTTGACGATTCCCTTGTTAGATTAATAATCAAATTGTATATTTGCAAAATTGAATAAATTCATCTCGTTGTCGAGGCAATCTATTGATTATAAAAGTATTTTATTCGAATGCATAGAGACTTGTCTTGTAACTTTAGATTAATTATCTATTTTCATTAAAATATTGTAGAAATTTTATCAATATTGTTTCTGATAAGATTAAACATATTCTGTCAAAATAATTAGAAAAAATAAAAAGAAGCCTTTTATATATATATATCTGTAAGTGATAACTAATATAGAACTATAATAATATATTTCATATGACACATCTATTATTTTTAAAGAAATATTATTTTCCTGTCTTTGTTTTTTGTTTTGTTTTGTTTTAAATACTGTCCGAAAAATTTGGTTATTGACAATAAAAGTCAATACAGTGATGTAGAAAAACAGAGAGAATGAAAGAACAACAATCAACTATACAAAAAAAAAAAAACAAGAAGAACAAGAAAAGAAAGCAAGAACATGATTGCCATCATTCCATTTTTGTTTCATTGTTCTAATTTATGACAATCTAACATAGATAACATGCACATATATATATATATATATATAGAAAGATATTTTCTCGTTTTGTTTTTTTCTTTTTTAACCAACAAAAACATACATGCAAACAATATGATGGCATTCAATGTCACTGTTCGTTTAAATGCAGACGGAGACGACTAAAAAGAAGAAGAAGAAGAAAACAAAATACGCATAGACACATACAACAAAAGACGAAAGAAGGAAAAAAAAATGAAAAGATGAATTAATCACAGTTGAGAGACGGGGAATCGGATGTCGCGCGTGCGCATGAGAAAAATCATGTCTAGATTATAAAAAAATATACATATATAGAAACACTTTGATTCAATAGCGGCGATGATATAAATGGGCATCTGACGCCCAAACAAAACAAAAAGAGGAAAAAGAAAGAAAGAAAGAAAAAAATTGCTTGAACGACAAATTGATATTTGTTTTTATTTTGATTTGTTTTCTACGCGACAACAAGTGCGTCCACACTGTGGAATGTCTCGTGAAGACAGAAGATAATATATTTTCGAATAGAACAAAAAGAAAAAGAGAAAAACAAAATGTAAGATAAACCGGGTTAGGCGCTCATGGCACGTATATATATATATATATATGTATATCAAGTGTTTGCGCCTTCATTACGTAGTAATCGCCGGTACATTAGTGAATTAATAAAACGTGGATAGGAATCACGATGCATTAAAGTATAAATTTGTAATTGGGCTTCGTCGAATGTATGTGGTGATGGTTCAACCATATTTTTGTTGATTACTTCACGTACTCGACTATCCAAACTTACCTGAAAGAAATGATTTCTTTTTGTTTTTTTTTTCTTATTTAAATCTTTAAAAAAAATAATTTTTACCTCTTTCGGAGATAATATTGATATATAATCTTCATAGATTAATCGTGCTTTTTCTTCGATTATTTCAGGATTTTGTTCATTTTTAAGGGATTCACAAGACATCCAAAATAGAAAATTTTCTTCACTATATTCTGATCGTAAAAAATCACGAAAATAACGACGACCAGCTAGAAAAAAATATAGAATAAAACAATTTTTTTGTTTTGCTCTTATCTTCTAAATAAAAATATTATATATACATACTAGGACTAAGCATTAATTTATCAAAGGATTCTGCCCAACTTTTTACTTCTTCAATGGATGGTCTATATATAAACATGTATTTCTTTGTTTAAATAAAGAAACCAAAAATAACATTGAATAAAAAAAATAACACATACGGTTCTCCTAGATCTATAGGTTCAGCTGGTTGACGATTGTCGTCGGTGCGCACGGTTAAACTATAATAAAAATAAAAAGAAATAAATGAATAGATTGATAAATGTTAAATAATAGATGTATGAAATAAGAAATAAAATAAAATAAAAAGTAGATCTATTGTTTAAGGCTACTTTTTTGTTCCTGTAAGCATTCTTCGAACATTGTCAGGAAAGGCAAAAACAAGATGTTCAAGAACACTTTTTCCAATTTCACGATTTTGATTTGTATGTGAATAATGACGACGATGATGACGATGATGATCATCATCAAGTGAAGTTGATTTATATTTATTTGAAAGATTTTTTGTTGAATTCATTATTCTATTAGTAGCAGTAGTTTCATATTCAATATTTGTTGTTTTTATTAAATGTTTATTTGATATTGATGATTTTAATGGTGATTTTTCATGTAGAATATTATTTATTTCTGATTTTGTTGTTATATGAGGTGACATTGATGATAAACTATTATTACCAGTTGATTTATATCGACGATGATTACGAAATAATGTTGAAGGAGAATGAACATTAGTATTCATTAAAGCAGATGATGAACGTGATATAGTTAAATTATTTTTTGATATTAATGGTTTTTTTAATAATGATAATTGTTGATGACAATTATCATAAGATCTTAGAGATGTATCTGTATCACATGTAACAGATATCGTACTTAATGTAGCAGGTATTGAACGTTGTGTTCGAATTTTATATGTACTATTTGTTTCTTTTCGAGTATTATTATTATTATTATTATTATTATTTATACTATCACGGAGTTTGGCGTGAGCCACATGTTCTGGTACAACTTGAGTCATTTGATTGTTGAAAATTTTTGAACTGGCAGATGTTGAAATATGATTCCGAATGACAATAATATATGGCCACAAGACTAGTTTTGAAAAGTCATGTTGATGTGACAAAAACAATGATGGATACTACTCGGATTCCATAATCCATATTTGCCATCGACACACAAACCAAAAAAAAAAGATTATTAATTCTTCTCTTGTGCTTCTCCTTCTACTTCGCTTCTCGGTTTTTTTTTGTATCTTCAACGACGTTGAAATGAAGACGACAGTAACAGTCAAAGTTTTACTACTATCATCATTCTTACTACACCACCGGCAGAAACAACATAAGCGAGAGTGAAATGTTCTTTTTTTTTATTTCTCTCTCGGTTTTTTTTTTAGCTTTCCACTACTAACAAGAACATCACATCAAAGACAAGACCGACGAACGAGAGAAGCGTTGGCCTGGTTTTTTTCTTCTTTAGCTAACATGATTTAGCTCATAACAACTCTGGAATGATAAAGATGACGACAAGCCGAGAACGAGAGTCGTTGTTGTTGTTGTCGATGGCATTGAACACTCTTCTTTTTTCCTTTTTTTTTTTTTTTGTAGATACCCAAAAGCAAAACACCGGCAATGCAAGTCGAGGAAAGAGAAAAGAGGAAAAACAGAAAGTATAGATATGTCTCTAATCGGATTAGGGAATGGGTAAAAAAAAAAAAAGAAGACGAAGAAAGAAAGAAAAAAGATATGAAAGAAACGTTTCGTTTTCTCTTGTCAAAATGATAGTTTCATGAGAAGGAAAAAAAAGAAGCAATCTCAGTACTAAAAAGGAAGTGATATGTAGTACGCACATACATACAAAACATGCAAGCAGTAACTTTGTATTATCGAATTATTGAACACAGTAGCGAGCTACTTTTACATCGTTTCTCTCAGTAGAGATGCAATTAGAGTTTATATTCTATCGTCAAGAGTGCATCTGTTGTCGAAATATATGTGTATCTATTTGTTGTTTGACTTTCAATAGAGATAAGAAGAAGAAAAAGAAGAAGAAGAAGAAGAGCAAAAAAAGTCGATCGACAGCAATGATGAAAGTAAACTGACTAAATTAGAATAGAACTTATTATTCTTGTCTTTCCGAAACGGAAATCATATTTACCAAACGTGAGTCTCCTCGTTTGTTTTTTTTTTCATTCGCACATCATAAGAAGAGCAGCATCACAGAAAAAAAAACAAAATAAATAAAAAAAGAAAATAGAAGAAATACAAAACATCAAGAAGTTAATAATCAAAATATCAAACATACTTTGGATGACGTCGTATGGAACCGAATGGGTTAAATTTGAAATGTTTAATCATGTTCTTTTTACATGCACACGCGCGCTAATATAAAACGCGCAAATTCACCTGGAGGACTGAAGAGGAGTAGGGGACCAATTTTTTTGTATAAATGAATGTGATGCTGCTGTCTGTTAATGTGCGATGATGAGGAGATCGACGTCTAAAGCAAGATAGATAGAGAAGAAAAATACCACGATTATACACACAGGTCAACTAACGACTCAAGAAAAATAAACAAGCAAATAGTAAATAACAAAAGAATCGGGAAGAAAAGGACAGTGATATATAAACTAATTTTTTGCGCAATGTGTTAAATTAAAACATTTAAAGGGTAAAACATATATAATATGTATATATATATATATATATAGTTAACTACATACCACGAACAGGAACAACAGCAACACCAACAAAAACAACAGGCTTTTGAGGCTTGATCACTATGTGAAGGAGATGAATTTAATGGTTCTTGTTGATTGGAAGGTATATTTGATGGTGTTGGTTGTTGACGGCGCGATCGATTACTTTCGTAAACTGATGAGTTTTCTTGATTTGAATGACGTGAGCTCATAATCTAACAAAAAAACAAAAGGATTTCTTGTTTAATAAAATTTCAATTTTTTTTTTTTAATTTTTTTCATACTTTCTGGAAACAATACTTATGCACTTCTTCAACTTGACCAACAAAACCCTCTGTTAGTCGAAAAAAGATATCAACAGCTGAAAAAATCAGCACTGAACAGGAGGGTATTGAAGACGAAGTAGAAGGATAGCAACGACGATGTTGTTCTGCTACAACTGTTGTTGGTGACGAACTATTTGACAATAAAGTTGATGCTATTCTTTTTTTCCTAAATATATATAAATACCAATTAATATTATACAATCATATTAACTAAAAGAAAAAAAAAAAGAAACATTATCGTATATTAAGCGTAAGAAAAATAATAACTTGACGCATATTCTAATCGTTTTCTTTTCAGTATATAGAATAAGAAGAGTGATCAACGTTACTATTATAGAGCTCATACTCTTTCTTTCTATTTTATACTCTTTTTAACCAATACTAGAAAATAAGATGTATATATGATCTCTTTTCAAATGAAAATAGTCATCTGGACGTAAATATATATATAAAGAAATATTAAAAAAGACAAATTCTTTTTGTTTTTTGTTTTTGATTGAATGATTGGTTTTTTTTTCTTAACTTTAAGTCGTGTTAAATTATTCTTTGTTGTTTTCTCAATCAAGAAATAGAAATTGTTTTTTACATAATTGCATATGATATGACATGTAAATTTACTTTAATATTAGAAAAAAAAAACACAGAAACTTGTCTACATAGACATAGTATGAAATTTCAGACAAACATAATTGTTCGATGTTTAACTTTGAATTAAGATTTTCTTTTTCTTCTTCTTCTGTAAGAAGAGAACAAAATAATTAAAAACAAAAACAAAACATATATTTCATACCTAATGGAAGAAGATTTCAATGTTCGTGTGGTCTCTTTGTAAAACACGAACATAATGCGATAGTCGCGTTCGTGTTTTGTTAGCGTTCATTGAGGCGTCTATAAATAAGACAAGAAAAAAAAAATGGTCAAAATAATAAGAACTCTATAATACGAAGGTTTCTCGCTTTCCAGATCAACTTTGTCATACTAAAAGCGAGTGTCTCATCATGAATAAAGAAGAGAAAAAAAAAACGAAGAAGAGATTGATAATTTCGACTATGCACAGGCGTGCTGTTTTCTTGTTGTGGCTTCTACTTCTTCTTCTTCTTCTTCTCTTCTTTCTTTATGACATCATCATGATGGCTTACCATGCAGCAAAAGAAAGAAACAAATAAACAAGTAATAATACAGGTTGATCTTGAATTTGAATAATTGAAAACAGTGTTTTATCTATTGATCTATATTATATATATATTTATCTATATGTATATATGTGTCTATGTATCGTGTGAAAACAATTGTCGACAATAACTGATCATGATCTACAAGAAAAAAACAAAGATAACACAATATGAATGCATGTTTAATCAATATTTTATTCTTTCGTGATAGAATTCTTTTTGATTTATATTACCTATAACTTTGTTGTGAACTAGTTAGCAAGGGAGTTCTTAACACTATTCTCAAACTATTTTTATAGAGACAGCACTAGTTATGACGAGAACAAACAGTCACACACATACACATGCAGACGAGAGAATAGGAGGTTAGGGAGAAAGAAAAAAAAAGAAGAAATGATGATGATGATGATGATGATGAGGATGATGAGGATGAGGATGAGGATGTGTTCGAACACTGCTTGATTCCATTACGAAAATCCTAACAATTATTTCAAATAATAGAGGAAAAAAAAATAGAAGCAAAGATTAATGGCATATGACCTCGTACATCACTCAGAAAATATGACAATCATCGTTATCATATAACAAACAAATCACTGTAAACGAACTAATCAACTAGTTAAATCTAACGAAAATAAAACAAAAATTGTCGATTATTTAAACTCATAAGAATTCCATAGTCTTTTTTTTTTTTAGATCTGACAACAAATAGTATAGAGAAATAACAAAAGAAAGAAAATAATTTTGGTTAACTCTTTCTCTCATAGATATAAGAATTATCTGTGTGTATATGTTCTAAGCAATATATATATATAGATTCTATTAAATATATATAGCTCTGTTAATTTAGCATTGGTGACATTTGCCAGTTGCTGAGTAAGATTAATAGTTCGATTGATTTTCTGGTTACTTCTAACTGAACTAATTAATCTATCTCTTTAATATAAATGAATAAATAAAAGTTAACTTGACTAAATTAGTTCTATATATTTTTTATTAGTTCGTTACTCATTAGCGTACGATATAAATACATCAAAATAAACTTATTTTACCTTACTCTAACAATGTTCATCATTTTTCTTTCTTTTTTTTTTTTTTTTGCTGACTTTTTTTTTCATCAGACAAATGGGTAAGTAAGCGAATGTTACAAAAGGAAGAGAGTGAGAGAGAGAGAAAAGGGAGGGAGGGAGGGAGGCAGGGAGGCAGGGATGGAGGGAGGAAAAGAACTAAGGAGTAATTAGTAGAGAGAAGAAACTTCGTTTCTTTTGTTGTCTTCTCTTGTTCTTCTTTATTTTTCTTTTTTGTTCTTTCTCTAGGTTTTCAATCAGACAAAACACTTAAATACAAAGAGTGTGATTCCACCTGCTAGAAGATAAAAAAGAAAGACAAAGAGTTATCTCTAGTTGGATGACGATGAAGATCGACACATCCACACCTACACAATATTCGTCTGACATCGACTCATATGAATAGAAGGTGTTTGACTGTAATTGTTACAAGAAAAAAGTAAAAGAAATATCAGTAGAGAGCGAAAAAAAAATAATCTATGAAGAAAAAGGAGAAGCAGATGATGCTATACATATATTGAATTAGACAAGGTAGACTTTATGTCGAACATCATCATCTCAAATTTCCATAGTCAGTAGATGCAACATGCAAACTAAAAATAACGATCATGACGACAAGAAAAGAAACAAAAAAAAAAAAGTCTATTGCGTGTATGTTGATTATTAGACTAAGATACAATTGACAGTAAACCAAGAAGAAAAACCATTTTTTTTTCTCTTCTTTTATCGTTAAATAGTTGCCATTTAAAATGAACTTACTTTAGTTCCTTCCCGTAATTTTCTATTTCTAAATCAACATAAAGACAAATATACATACCCACATGGTATTGATAGTGGTGGTGCGCAAGATGGCAGCGAAGTCTGATGATGATGATATAGCAAAATAGAAAGGAAAGAAAAAAAAATCCGAGAAGAAAATGCGTGGCAATTCTACTATTATTCGTTAGTACTCTTTCCTCATCAATTTCTAGCTACTGCTGTTGTTGTTATTGTTTATGATTTTGGCAAGTATCTTGCCTCGTCTTCCATTTTTCTCCTCTTTTTCCTAATTGTATGCTGTAAGAGAGGGAGTGGAAGTCTTCTCCGTCCATACATCTATCCATCTATCGTCGACATCGTTCTTCTTCTTCTTCTTCTTCTTCTTCTTTTTTTCTTCTTTTCTTCTTTTCTTTTGTTGTACACAATGAAAATTGACACGAGAAATTAGAAATGACGGAGAGATGATGAAAATGACGACGACACTGCTTCTTTTCTTATTTTTCTGCACGGTTTCTTTTTCTTTCTGCTTAGTGTGCGGGAAAACGCATCAATATAGTTTGTTAGTAGAACGAGTTTTGGATCGACAGTAGTAAAGAACACGCACACACACAAAGAAAAAAACGACATAGAAAGAAAAAGACAGAACACACGAATCGACTGACGTTGCCTTGTCATTTTGAATAAAAATGTGAGAAGTAAACAAGGTCCATAGCTCAATTTGTCTCTCCCATTCTTTTTCTTTTCCGATTTTCAGCCGCTAAGCTGAAAAAAAAATGCCAACCACATTCAGATGTTGTTCTCCATCACATCCTTTCTTTCATTTAAAGGTTTAGCACGATAGCGAACTATTGCCGGTCGAGATGCCAATGGGAGATGGAAAGCGCACAAGAGAGATGTTGTAATCTGTTATTAGTTTTCCTTTTCATTTCCGTTCTGGCACGCGCACATATATAAAGTCCAGCTGTGTTCTATACAACGAACAAACAATAGAGAAAAAAAATATATATAGTCAATAATGTTATAGAGTGCAGTAGATTATAAAAACAAAATAAAAAAAAAAAAAAAGAATATCATTCATGTGTTGTTGATGAAACAATTGATTGATTCCATATAAAATCTGCTTTACGCATTGATTTTCGTCGTTGTTGAATTTTATTTGTTAATGATGATGTCCTTCGAGATAATGGTGGTTTAGGTGTAACAGATGGACGATATTCTTTTAATGCAGATAAAGATAATGGTGGAAAAGCTAGAAAAAAAATCAAAATAGATTTATTAAATTGATAGGAATTGAACTTTTTTTTTCTTTCTTACTTTCACGATGTATAGTTGATGTATTTAATTCTGATGGTTGACCTTGTATAGTAGAATTTTCTGTACTAAATAATGATTCAATATCTCTTGTAGTTAATTGTTTTTTTAAAAATAAATGACGATTAGTTTTTCGACGATATATTTCATTATGTTCATCATAATCTTTTAAAAATTTAACATGAACTTTTTTTTCTTTATATTCAAGATGCATTGATGGAAGACGAGTTGGTGGTTTTTTACTATTGAAAAATTCTTCTTCATCTTGAATAGGATTTTTTGAAGTATTCTTCAAAAAGAAAAATGAATAAATTTGGAAATAAGAAAAAAAAAAAAAAGAAAAAGTAATTCATACATGTAATGTTTCTGAAAAATATTTTTGTAGACTTAGATCATCATTTAATTGTTGTAAACTATTACTATAACGAGATGATTTTAATAAATTTGCTTTTTGTTCATTAAGTTTTGATGAACGAAATAATAATAAAGACTAAAAAAACAAAAATACTATGATGCCTTTTATATATTTTGAACATGTTTCATAAGAATAAATCTCTTGTTGATGTCTTCTGTTTTCTTTTTTTGAGCTGATTATTCGCTTGAGAGATTTCCCTAAGCTATTTTAATCTTTCTATTGATTATGATAAGAATTTTCTTTTTTTTTTGTTTTTTTGGTTTTAATTAATATTTACTATTTCTAGATTATAATAAAAAAAATATATATATATATATATGTACCTGCTGAGGATTTACTAAAACATCATTAGCCATGTCTACATAACGTTTTGCAGAGTCTATATCTGAACTATTTCGTACATATTGTTCAAGTTCATAACGTGGAGATTGTCGAGCAACTTGATCACGAACAAATGATTGATATGAAGCCTATATGTATATACATACATATTTATATATGAAATAATATTTGTAACAAAAAAAAAAAAAATAAGCGTGCATTCAATGTAAAAATGAATAAGCATTATATAAACAAGCATACTTCAAGATCGGCACGTGATAGCGATTGCGTTGTGGTCTTATAATGTACCAACGAACGCAATCGCTGTAAATTTTCTTCTTGTTGATTATAATTGACTGCAATAATGTAATATAAGGTTGGAATAAAAAAAGGATACAAAGACCAACACAAAAAATAAAATGATAAGACAAAATTATTTAGGGAATAGAACAAGACAAATACGATATAAAACAATTAGACGGACCTTTGCCGTCGTGTAGATAATTATTCGTGGGGGTCTGTGTTTAAATGATTCACCCTCTAAATAAAGAGATAAATGCACACACGCACACATCAACTTCAAAATTTATACTCTTATATATAATTTTTTTGATTACAAAATTATTAACTATGCATGTTATGATTTCTATCAAATTATTGATAATTTTATTAGAAATATAATTCAATTGAACTATATTTTTATTTTATTTTTTCAAAATTTATTAATTTTAATAATAAAATAGTTTTTTTTTTTCTTAGTATGTTATTGCCTCATAGCATATTTCTATGAATAAATTCTTATTTGCATTCATGCAGAATTCAATAAACCTGATTTCTTTTTGTTTTGGAAAAAGAAAAATTTTTTTATCATGCAAACTTCATTTCATATTGATTAAACGGTATCAGATGGATTATAAAGCTTTTAAATAACATGCATAGTTATTTATGTTCTATCAACAATAGTGGATTCAAAGAAAGACTCAATGATAATAAAAAAACAAGAGAGAGAGAACTAGTTTTCATTTAGTTTTTTTTTTTTTTCTAAAAGACATAATAGATGCACTAGTATAATTTACAAATATAGTAGAATCTAATTTTTTTTTAATTGCAGAACAATTCTTTTGTCATAAGCAAAATCTAAGACGCTGAAAGTAGTGTTATCTTATACATTATTTGTATTAACACATTTTTACAATACTCAAACAAGAATACATAAAAATTTAAAGAAAAATTTACTTGCTTGAAATTTAGTATCAGTAAATGGTCTATTTACTTTCATCTCTAAGGCTTTGCAATTTGAATTCGACAAATTTTTATGGTTTCTTCACTTCAGATTTGTTACTGATCGTCATATCATACATATATGTAAGAGTATTATAAAACTATAGCCTACAATTCTACATACTTCTTTACTTTAAACATATCTTTTACTCACATATAGTACTCTGTGATCTATCAATCACACATTAACAGTGAGATAAATATGATTCAAGTAAAGAAATTTTAATACTATCACTAAAATAATTTGATTTTATTCTATGTACATACGACGTCTTAATTCTTCAAGTGATAATTGTTGACGATTTTCATTTGTTTTTGGACACACATAATCATAAGCTGTTTCAGGATCAAATATATTTGATAATTTTTCTAATAGATTTTGTTTTTCTTTAGATAATTCACCCTGAAATATAAATATAAATTGTTTGTTTGTTTGTTTTTTCTTTGTATAATAAAAGATCTATTTTGTTTACTTCAATTTCAGAACCAACATTACTACTCGACATCTTGTTGAGTACTTGAAGTCTAAAATTAAACGTGCGTAAAAGTACTATAATTACTTGAATTCATCAGTTTCTATAGAAACTTAATAATAATTGTACTTAAAAGAGAAAGATTTTATTTAAAATTTGATTGTATTATGAAAAAAAAACAATTAAAAAGTTGATTTCATATTGAAAAGAAATATAAATTTATTTTAATATTTTATACAGTGACATCTTTTGTTCAACTAGAAGAAAGAAGATACCGGGAAAAGAAGTAAAACTAGATAAAATATTTTTTTCAATTTTATTATACTATATATGATATTTAAAACAAAAGAATATTGTTCTATTAAGTAATAAAACAAACATCCCTGTGTGTGCCATCATGTTTTGTATCTAATAGTCAATGTCAATGATTATGTCTTGAACAATCAATTAAGCAAAGTTCCAGATTTAAAAATTTTTATCTTACAATCTAATGTTTGCACTAGAATAAAAAAAAGGATGGATATCATGTTAATAACTTCATAATGATAACAGCTGGCGACCTGCGATTTTCAGCAATCGAAAGAGAAGAACTTCGGATGTCTTTTTGTCTGATATACGATGTTCTATTTCGATGTAATTTTAATTTCGACATTGCTTCAGATCTTTAGTTCGAGGTGCAATTCAGGTGATAGTCTTCTCACATATTAATGTTGAATAAACAAAATCTTCGATCAAATTGTATAGAATTCTGTTGATTTTCAGCAAATTTTCTTGAAATGTAACGTCGTTTTCATATAGTTTTTGCGGAGATGTCAGGCTTTGCAAATTATTTTGTCTCATATATTTTGAAAGCAAAAAGACATCCGAAGTTCTTCTCTTTCGATTGTTGAAAACTACAGATTGCTAGCTGTTGCCATTATCGAGTTATTGAAATTATACTAGATCCTCTTTAATCCTGGTGCGAATATTAGTTTTGATGAATTTTGTTAATTATAATACCTAACAATATTATTATTGATAGGAATTATTCTAATTCAAATAAGCTGATTATTTTTGTTATTTTTATCAGGATTATTATGTGATTCTAAAGAATTTCTTTCAAGGAATATCTGTTAAAAATTCAAATCCAGGAATATACTTGATTATATATAATAAAAAGCTTTATGTTGTATTTAGTGATGTTCAAATATATTCTAAAAATATCAAAAGCTAATTGAGTTACTAAATTTTTCGCATTCAAACCTGAATAAATTGTAGTTTTTGAAAGTCTTTCAATTGAACAAGGGGGGAAAAGCGAATTTGAGATTTTGGGATTATTTCGGATTTTGTCGGATATTCCGATTTTTTCAAGTAGTTTTGAGTTTTTAAGGTTTTTCTCAGTTTTTTTGTTTGATATTCGATTAATTTCAACCTACCATCACCACTTCTTTTCATATGAGCTACCTCATAGCTTCCTACAGTTACCTAGGGGGATGTACTTGAAGCCCCTGAAGGCCTACCATACGACCGAATCAATAGGTTCTCAAGGGCTATCATATGGAAGTATCTATCAGTCCGCATGGTCTATCCTATGGGGTACCCATAATTTCTGATCAACTGTAGTATGGGGTACCCATAAATCTCCATGGCCTATGCTATAGTGGCACGAATAAGTCTGTATGGTCCATTCTATGGTGATATCCGTAAGTCCTCGTCCTCTATCCTATGGAGCACCCATAAGTCTTTATGATCTATCCTATAGGGAAATCCAAAAGTCCTCATGGCTTATCCTATAGGAGAACTCATAAATTCTTATGCCCTATCCTATAGGGAAAACCCATAAATTCTTATGGCCTATCTTATGGTGATATCCATAAGTCCTCATGACCTTTCCTATAATGGTACCAATAAGTCTGTATGATGTTGCTTTGCATTGTAAAGTTAAACAACAAAATTTTCGAATTTCATTGTAATCAAAAAGTTTCATTACATAAATCAATATTATTGTTTTTATTCGTTTTTGTCTTGAAGCCCAGTCAAAATTCTTTCCAGAGTAGAGATTTCTTGTTTGATTTGTAAGATCTTGTAGGTCAAAGAAGAATCGTACATTAAACATACGGAAAAAGAATTTGGAATAGAGATAAGAATATTAATTTGTGCTGTTTCATATTACGAAAAAATAACGCACTCAATTACTTATTCAATTACTACAACTATTAAAATTTCGATTCTAAAAACATGATATTTTCTTTTCTTATTTAATCTCTCGTTTCCACTTATTATTGTTTTATTTCTATTGATGAATGTAATGATGTAACTAATTATAATATAGCTGAGAAATATATTGAATACTTGACAAAATTAGTTGATAAAATTCTTATTCAATTTGATAAGACAATTGAATATGATATTATCCATTAAAATAATACAAAAACTGAAGAACGACATACTGATGATAATCATGATTCAAAAAATAAATTATTTTTATCTTATTATTCCTTGAAATTATATTGTTGATGATTAATCAGTTGAATACATAAAAAAATCAATTAATATTTTTGGTCTTTTTCTTTTTCTTTCACATAGAATAAGTCTGCTGTATAAAAAGGAACAAAAACTTAATAAAATTGAATATTATATTTTAACATTATATGTAATTTTGTCCATTACATACGTTTAAAAAATATTTTTGTGTATTCGTTAAAAACAACAAGAAACAATGAAAAAACGAACAATGTCCATTGAAAACTATAATGCAATAAATCCTAGTAGATTCTACATGACAGAATACGAGAATAGCTCAGAGTAGTACTATTAGATCATAAGTATTTCTATTTTTGGTATTAATCCATTATAAATATATCATGATACTTAATTATTTTATGATGAAACCAAAACAGATAGTATCAATTAGAATTATTTTATATTGTCAATTACGGTTCATAAGATCGGACAGGTTAAGTTATTGTGTATTGAATCACTAATCGCAGCAGATATCATGAGAGATATACTAAATTTTACACTATCCTGACAATCCTAGTTTTAATCCTTTGAATTTTGCAATCATTTATAATAAAGTTTCATCCTTTTTTTCGCTGATATTAAATTACTTAAATCTGTATTGTATATCTTTGACTATCACATAACTCATAGAAATATTCTTAACACCTAAAACAATCTAATTAAAGTTAATTCAGTTTTTCATATAGCTGAATTCTCTTCATTCATCGATAAAGAATACTTTGCTCCTGACATCTACAATAGATAAAAAAAAAGACAACTTGTAACGAGTTGTTACATACTTTTGACACATGACCAATAGGAAAACATTCGTTTATTACTTGGTTGTCTGACACTCACGTGTGTTAAATTAATAGATTAATTCGTCTAGATAGAATTCATCCGTATTATATTGAAAATAAATGAACGAAGACGATCAATCTCATGAACAGAATGTATAAATTTAGAAATAAATTTATCAAATAGTTGTACATTTATTTCTTTAATCTAGACATCAAAAAGTTTACCAACAACATTACAAAATCCGTCGCTAGTTGTCAATTCTATGTTGACAGCTTTAGCTCAAAGTCTACTTCCATCATCAACAAATCAACAAGTAAAGATATAAAATAAACTATGCTTTTGTTTTTTTGTTAATTTACTTAGGAAAAATAAAAAAACTCGTTTTTTTCTTTTAGCAATTCTTAGCTGATTTACAAGCAGCAGCAACATTAGTTAATAAACAAAAATTATCGTCAACAAATGATAATAATCAACATGAATCAAATTCTCATATAAAAGCAAATCGTACAGATAATCAAGATAATCTACCACATACAACACAAGCAAAACGACGTGCAACACATAATGCTGTTGAACGACGACGTCGTGACCGTATTAATCAACATATACAACAATTATCGAAATTAATTCCTGATTGTAGTAGTTATGTAAAAAATCAAGTAAATTTGTGTTTTTTTTGTTATATTTAAAAAACCAAAAAGAAAATTTTTTTTTTATCATAGAGTAAAACTGTTGTATTAGAAAAAACAATTGCATATTTACATGAACTTCGTACACAAAATCTAGCATTAGTTAAACAAACAGTTGATGCTGGCATAATTCTTCATGAAAATGACTTATTGAGAGATCGAGTTTGTTTGAATATAAAAAATAATATAATATAATTGTTATTTTTTTATTTTTGAAGATTCGAGTCGTCGAACAAGAGAATGGAGTATTAAAATCCTTATTAACAAAACAAAGTCTATTAAATGGGAATGAATCATCATTAACATGAATATACAAATATATATATATATATATATATCTTTTATTGAATGTGTGCAACAGTTAGATATATGCAAACTGTACAGATTTGTCTTTTTTTGTTCTCCTTTTAGTATTTACTTTTCTACCCCCTTCTATGCTTCCCACCTTTGTTTTTGTACATATATATATATATATATATTTCCTTTATGATTTTCTTTTTGCTTGATTATTGACCATATTTTGTGGTTTTTTTCTTTTTTTTTTCCATTCGATGTTAACAGTAAAACAAAACCAATATATAATTGTTTGGGAATTATAAATGATAAAATTTATTTATTGAAAATAATTAAGTCAATATAGAGTTAAAGTAAATATATTATATTTATTGCTTCATTATAGTTATCTATGATTTAAATGAGAAAATTATATAATATTGTTTTATGATATTTAAGACATATTTATTAGTCATAAATCAATATAGCAAAATTTTAGAGATTATTAATCTTGTTGCTTTCTTCTTTGTTTGATCGATGTCAATATATAAGTATTCTAAGGTTATTGAATATATATTTTTAGTTTGATGTAGATCAGTTATTATTTGCTCACATTAATAGAATAATAACTAACAGTGAAGATTGATCACATGATGATGAAGTTTTAAATGCTGCCTTCATAGTGTTCACTGTATGGAAATGTATTGGAATTTCTAAATGTCCTAGGCAAAATTAAACTTACAAAGGAATGTTCCTACGTGATAAATCGTTTTCGAACTGAAACTATATTCAATTGATCGAGTCTAGTGAGTAAGTAAATATCCTAGGATAATTCGAGCAGTTAAGCAGTTGTTGAGATATTGAATTTGTAGTGGATTTTCCTTGTAGGACTCCAGTTTTCAAGCGAAATCATACTTTTGACTTATGATCTGGAATTTTGCCCACATAAAAGGTACCGATTAGACTAACTTGTAGAAAAAATTTTAGAATTTTTTCTTCAAGTCTCTTCGAGATATGAATTTTGTATAATATAGGTATTTTGTCGTGTTGATTGTAAAAACTATGGACATTTTGAAAGATTCATATCTTGATGACAGTTGGTCAACAAATTCTGAAGTTTTCTCTACAAACTAGTCTATTCGGTGCTTTTACGTGAGCAAAGTTTCAAGTTAAAATTCAAAAGTATGATTTCGATTGAAAACTAAAGCCGTGCAGAAAGATTCCGCTAAAAATTCGATATGTCAGCAATAAAGATCCAGCTGTCCGAATCACCCGGCACCTATTAGCAGGTTTTCGTCCAAGGCTATAGAAAAAATCAAATGAAGCTTCGTTGTCATATCTGAAGTAACTTTGTTTGGTGCATGTTAGACACGATCCTATTATTGTCTTTCGAAACGGAAACTAATAATGAACAAATTGAAGAAGCTCTTGATGACTGCTGTTGATGCTGAGAAAATGGCTTCAGTTCTAAATCGAATAGTGGAGGTTGAAAATAGAGAATACTCCGACATAACTTATACATGAATCCAAGCTGATAGCGTTCTAAACTTTTTGTACTCAACTTTCGATTTTTACTTATGCACTTAAAATTAATAAACATATTTTTGCTTTTCATAGTATATCTAATTGCTGTATGTGTTACTAAGCGATATGCAAGAACAGAATTCCTATTCATCTGTTGAGGCCACATGTAATATTTACGATATTTGAAGGTTTGTTTGAAAAAACTATACGTTTTTGGTTTTTTCCTTTATAACTAATTACCTTTAAAATATTCGGAAAATATATTTATGACTTTTTATTCTAGTTTATAGAAAAATTATTAGTTTAAAAATTTAAAATAAAATGCTGTACATAAATATCAAATGTTCGCTTATTGAAATGTTCAAAATGAAAATTAATATCGTCAGCAAGTTGACGAGTACGTGTAATATTTTTATCTCCAACATGAATAATAAAACGTTGATTAATTATATTCGAATTAATCTTTATTAAATTTGAATGTTTTATTAAGCCATCAGTAAGAATACAAATTTTTCGAAGACCATCTTGTTGTTGTAAATAATTACAAGCTTCTTGTAACATATTATTTAAATTTGATATAGATTTTAGTTTTAATTCTTGATCAAAATTTATATTAGAATTAAATACTAATCTTATATCATTAGTTTCAAAAATAATACGATTTGTTTGAAATATATCTCTAAAAATCAAAGAAAAATCTTTTGTTATTTTGTTTTCTTCTAAATGTTTAATTCTATATGTTTTCATTTACCTTTTATCAAATACACGTTTAAGAAATATAAGAACGTCTGTGTTTTGTTTATGAGATATATCAATGAAAAACCATTCAAATGTTGGTTCAGATTTAATAATATTATTTAAAGATTGATTCGATATCAAAGAATTTCTTGAATCAAATGTAAATATACATAGAGGACATTGACTCGATCTTTTTGGATTGAATGATTCATTTAAATCTATCTGTTTTTGTATACATAATCGATCAAATGTATGTCCACAATCAAGAATAATAGGGTCATAAAAACGACGAAAACAAAGAGGACATTTTAAATCAATGACATCCTCGGAAAAAGACATTTTTCAACGTAAATGATAAAAGAAGAAAAAAAAACAGACAAAAACAAACAGATAAGAAGACGTCGTAATATTATAGTATATCAATGTTTTATCGTAATGGCGACAAACAACGATGATTTTAAATGTAAAGTTTGTAAGAACATATATACAAGTCCAGTTGTTCATAGACTTTGTGGTATTTCCTTTGATCGTACATGTATTGGAAGAATATGTCCAGCACAAGAATGTCGTCAAATTATAAATGAAAATGATTTAATAGATAATTATACTCTATTGAAAATTGCTGATGAATATCGATTCACTTTAGAAATGCCTCCTACTTATTATCTCTTTCTACTTGATACTAGTACTTCAATGTGGTATTCCGATCGTTGGCTTCCTTTTGTCATAGGCGAAAGTCGATTCACATATGCTATAGAGTTTTTAAACGATTTTTTTAAATTAAAGTAAACATTATTGATTATAATTGTTTTTTATTTGTAATTATTTATTAAATATATCATTTTTATAGGTTGAATAAAATGACTGAAAAAATTTCATTAGTTACATTTGATACATCTTCATTACAACGATTTGATTTCGAAATAATCGATGAAACTCATTTAACATTTTTACAACATTTAAAATGTGAAGGTAAAGATACAGCATTATTCGATTCTATTGATTTTTGTCTAATGAAAATTGAACAATTAAAAACATTACTTGGTAATCAAATGTCATCTTTATATCTTTTTATACTTACTGATGGTGGTAATAATTTTGGTAAAGCAGAATCTATACATGCTACACAAATATTATGGCGTTCGAAAAAACTTCATATATCTGGTCATATTATTCAAATAGGAGATAAAAATAGAAAAAAAACAAGAACAATATGTGATTTGATTAAATTCAAATATAATCATTTCAAAGGTGGAAATGTAGCAGAATTTGTTAAATCATTTACAAATTCAATTACAACAGAAATTCGAACTCGAAATGCTCAAGTTCTATCTTCAATGTATTCAACAACACGAATGATCAATCAATTACCGGATGTACCAAATTCACCAATTAAAGTACCATCGAAACAAAAAGAACTTGGATAAATATATAAATCAGTTTCTTTTTTTTTTTTTTTTGAATATATTGATTCTTTCTACTTAATCATGAATAAATCTCAAGTCCTTTCTCGTAGCCATAACTTACGAAGACTGCATATAATGTGTATGAATTAAACAATCTTAAAAATAAATTTCTAACAAGAACAAAATAGCATAGATTCCAAAGGATAATCAAGATTAGAGCCCGTCGGGTTCAAAATTTTCGGAGCCGAACACGGACCGGACGCTTAAGTTCAACAAAGTCTTTTAGTCTATGCCTGATAGTCGCTCTGAAAATTCGAGATACTTTTTATCGATTATCTGTATCCTGCTAATAACACACCGTACACATTTCTGAAATAATCTGACCGATGATTTTTATAATAATCAAGTTATAATTATCTGTTACTTTTAGAGTATGATCCGTTGATTCGATCCCGGATCAAGCCAACAGGCTCTAATCAGAATGAGAATCATTAGGAATGAAAAATGCCGATTAGATCAAAGTTTTATAGTATTAAGTGTATAATATTTTTCTCTTTCTACTCCAATAGGACACAAAATACTCTACGTTATCGAAAGATAATTTAATGATATACTATCAGTTGACAGATATGTAGTGGCTAGACATGTATGAAGAAAGAATTTCTTACACTTAATCTTGGATAAGAACGTACAATGCGTCCATCTGACGGCCATCGGTTAAAACGAAGATGGCAAGCAACACCTGATGATCAAAATCGAAAGTCTCAGTATACCCTTTATCGTAGAAAAACAAATGTTTCAGCTTTTATCGACTGAGCAATTGTTTAATGATTGATGACCTCTTTCAATTTCATTATCACTTTCTTAAACGTATTTTCATTATAAAAGTAATCATTTGACATATGAATCTATCTTTGATAAGTTCTTTTTTTCTCACATTATTCATTCTTTCATCAATCTAGAAAAAAATCATTTATATGTGATTTGTAAGGAGGTTGTAACTTAACAACGGCAAAGGATAAAGAAAGAACAATTTTTATACGATAGTATTATTGTTACTATAAAATTTCATTTTGAAAACATAGAAACAAAATATTTACAAAAAAAAAAAGAAATGAATAATCAAGCGTCTATGCCACCATATTTTCAATGGATTATTGATAAACGTTTAGCTATATGTGCTCATCCATTTCATGCATCACATATTCGATATTTACTTGAACAACGTATTCATACAGTTATTTCTATAAGTGATACATACAGTTCTGGAATACCAAATCAATCTCGAGCTGATTTACATGTTCATACATTAAATGTTCCTGATGGTGGAGCACCAACTATGCAACAATGTCAACAATTTGTTCATCGAATGGAAATTGCTCGACAACGTGAAGAGGTTAATTCTCGCTTTTTTTCTTTTTTTTATTCTCTGATTTATAATTTTATTTTTGTATTTTTTTTTCTTTTTTAGGGTGTTGTTGTCGAATGTATTCGTGGTAAAGGAAGTGCTGGTGTATTAATTGGTTGTTATCTTCTGGCACTTTGGAAAGTTCCACCAGATTATATAGTTAATCATTTACGTCTTATACGACCAATTACATTGGAAACATCATTACAAGAACAACAATTAATTGATTATCATAGTAAAATTGCACCAACACAACGTCATTTCTATGCTGAAGTTGATCAACCACATAGTTGGGATATTGATACAAGTTATTTAAATACAACACCACTTGCTACACCTCAACAATTATCACTTGCTTAAAATTCTTATACAATAAATTCAATATCAAAACAAAAACAAAAGACATATATATTTATCTATATTCCCAATATAACTTATTATACATTGCTTTACAAAAAAAAAAGTTTATTTTTACCATAAAATAGATTTTGGAAATTTATTGAATATGAATTAAATTGTTTTTTTGTTGACTAGAGTGAAATTTGAAAAACAAATTAGTCGAGTATTTGTATAATGTGAGATGACGCTTGCAATGAATTTTTAAAAATCTATCGAAAATATTTCGATTCACTCGTCGAATCAATGAAAAAAATATTCAATGTTGAAAAGAATTTTACTCTTTCAGACCAAAAAAATCTAGTATCTAAATTAACGTTAAAAAACCTTAATCTCAACATTTTCCATTGCATATTAAATAAGTCTTTCTAATAGAGTTTAAATTTCATTTTGAATTATTAATATATTTCATTTAGACAATCTGCCAATCTAATCCTCTAGCTACGACTATAAATATTTACTAAACACAGAATAAATCATCCTAGATAATCATTATTAACGATAAAGAATGGGATGTTTAACATCACTGTATTTCTAATCGCGTCGAAGGATAAATAACGAGTGAATAACAATATTGTGACTGGATTGTTCTCGACGACAAAACATAGCAAATGAAGCGGAACGGTCATTTATCACACACAAAAGAAAAAAAAAAGTCATTCTCCATCATTTTTCAACGATAGGAGATAAACATCGATGAATTTCTTTGAATTAAAAAACGTTAAAATATTAGATGATATTATCCATTAAACAAATTAAAAAAAAATATTTCTAAATGATGTCGCTGACTTTTTATATCAGCAGATGTCATTCTCTTTCGCTATTTTTCCTCTCTATGAAATTTTTCTAGTCTCGATTATCCAATCATAAGTTAGTCTTTTGTCTATTGTTCTTCTTGTATTTTATTTCATTGATTTTTAAAATCGATATTAGATTAGTTCAATTTCGTTCAGATGTCTTTACTTGATCAAAATTGGAGTGCTGGTGGTAATGCTGATGATGAAGCACAAGATGATAATCAACAAGGACGACAAGTAAACAAAAAGAAATCTAATTTATTAATATTATTATTAAGTAAATACGAAAAACACTATTTTATATGTATATATTTAGATTACAACATCTCGTGATGGTACTTTAATGTTAATTGAATGTGCACCACACATGTTTGAACGATTAGCTAATCAAATGAAACAAGATTCATCGATTGATGATGATGATGAAGATGCACAATTAACAACAGGTTTTCAATTAGTTATGCGTGCTTGTCAACGTTTTTATCAATCAAAAATAATTTCAAATGATAAAGATCTTAGTGGAATTATTCTTTATGGAACAGAAAATAGTCTTAATGCATTTGATTTTAAACATATTTATATACTTCATGAATTAGCACAACCATCAGCTGAACGTATTATACAATTAGAAACATTATCAGATAAAGATGCATATAAAACAAAATATGATGAATTATTTGGTTCAACACAAGCAACTGGTTATTCATTAAATGAAGCTTTATGGACATGTTCAAATTTATTTTCAAATTCACCACAACGTTTAACTGTAAAACGTATATTTATATTTACATGTAATGATCAACCACATGCATCAAATTTAACATTAGAACGACAAGCTAAACAACGTGCTAAAGATTTAAATGATGTTGGTATTCAATTAGACGTATTTCCAATATTAACAGAAACAATAATAAAATTTGATTTTAAAAAATTTTTTCAAGATGTTCTTATGTTAAGTGATGAAGATCTTGATATTAGAAATAATCAAGAACCAACAGGACGATTAAATGAATTATTAAAACTTGTTTATTCAAAAGAACATAAAAAACGTGCTTATTGTACGGTTCCATTTTCATTAGGCAAAGCAGCTGATGGTACACCATTGGGATTTTCTGTTTCAGTTTATAATATGGTACTGTATTAAGTTTCACTTTTTTTTTAATTGTTCAAAGAAAAAAAAACAAAAGACTAATATAACGTATAGATCCATAGGGACTACCCATAAAATAGGTCGAGGTTAACTTGCATTTTCTGTCTTCCTGGAGGTCCAGTATTAAAAAAAACAACTTTCTAAAAAGAGCCGGCTTCTTCAAATACATCACTTCTCGTGTCTTGCACAAACCGCGATTCTCTTTGATCATTTTTTATATTTCACTGCATGAATATTTTTAAATTCTTAGAAAAATGTTAGATTTCAATTGAAATTCTACTTCTTTGTAATAGTGACTGTACTAGACACATCGACTGTTTTCAAGTTAGATTATTTATTAAAGATGGCGCCATCTATCAAAATATAATGTAGAAAATTCAAATCGACTTAGCAATCAATCTTTTGAAGACAGAAAATTTTAGTTTCATAGACAAATTCTAAAATTAAGTGATCGACTACACGAATCGAGATTTTTTTTGAAGAACTGCAGCTAACCATCGGTTTTTCCTAAATGATTGATGACATGAGATCTTATCACTCGCTGACAACGATATATATATAAATATAGTAATTATACGTGTTTTTCTGTTTGTTATTTCTTAACGATGACAACTGTAAATTTGTTGAAAGCTTCAGATATATAATGTTTCATTTTTATAGAAAATTAGTATGTTTTTCGTAGCAGATCATTACACCCTATCTGTTTTCTACTGCTTCTTCTAATTACAATTCATTTCCTATTTAAAAATACTCTTCAAAATTTCGCCGATAATTGTGTGTTGCGAAAAAGGAAAATATTCATAGTAAGTATCTGAATATTCAGAAAAATTGATTCTTCGTTTATATGCTCATTCCTGAAGTTATTGAAATAAATTTTATAAGTCATTGTAGTTACGATCATTTGTTAACGAAATAAACTTTTCCTAAAAAGAAAAAATATTAAAATCAAATAAGATTTTGCGTTGTAATATGCTCAGTTGTTTTTATTATCATTCATCATCTATGTTTCTTTTTGTATTCTGTAAATCATATAATAAATTTATTCTGTTGACGAGATGAGAACAAATTTATATTTTGACTTGTCAATTCTATCACGGAAAGGATTTACTAAAGCAACAAAAAACGCAACGATTAAAATAATCAGTCTTAAATACGATTATAAAGAATTAAAACTGCTTTCATGAAATATGTAAATCTCTGATATTACAATTTAATCATCTTGTCTCTATTCTTTTCTAAGTCTCTTTATGAAGAATCCTGTTAAGATTTTCTTCTTCTATATGTTCAATGTAAAATTCTAGTCTGATTCATTTCATTAATTATAAACTTCTCAAATATTTCTTTCGCCTTCAATGATTAAACTAACATATCTAATAGACATTTTCAACAAAGCTGCAATGTGATTCTGGTTTGTTTTTTAGTGTAATAGATCGAAAACTCCTCGTTCGACAATTGAAATTAAATAATGAGAATTAACTTTGTTTCAATTAGTTGAGTCTACCCTAAATTCAGAACATTCTCGCCTATGAATATACACCTATAGGAATTAAAGAAAGCCTATCTATCAGGGCTTCGCGTGGAATGGAACGAACGTCTTTTACAACAATCGGCTTTTTTTTATAAAGATAATACAATTTTTTCGAAATAGACATCTTTCTTGCCGAAATATGAACTTAAGGATGATAGAATTGTGAAATACAAAATGTGTTTACATATTTTGACTGATTAAGAGTCCAGCAGAAATTTCAAAACTTTCAATTAGAATCAGAATTTTTGCGGAATCCATAGATTAGGGATTAGAAGCTAATCTTTGTAAGGTCTCAAATATTTACTCCTCCGTTTGACATTTTTGAAATAAATTTTAATTCTATTCTAGATAGTTTTTGTGCATTAAAACCATTCCAAACCTTATTTTCAAATACTAACTTATGAGTCGTACTTAGATTGGGAAAAAACACAATTCTGATCCTAACTCAAGATTTTAAAATTTCTACTTGTCCTCTTAATCAGTCAAAATAGAGGGGCATTGTGTTGAGAAAATTTTTTTAAACCTACGATAAGTGTGAAGTTCCATGGGACAGAAAATTTTTCGTCCCATCACATCCCACGTGGACTCCTGCTATTTATCACTGTGTTGTGGCAAGAGTCTTATTATCGATAGAAAGACTTCTAAGACAAGAACGTTGATTTGCTATTAAATGTCTATGAATAATTGCAAAATCCAGATTAATTTTTTTTAATAGGTTCGTCCATGTCCAAAACCAACAAAGATTAAATTAGATATGAAAACAAATTTGGAAACAAAAATTGTTACAAAACATTATCTTCCTGAAACAGGTTTATACACAAATATTTTGAATAATTATCAAAAGAAAAGCAAAATTTTCTATTGTTTTTTCTTTGTTTATCTAGCTGAAATTCTCATGCCGTCAGATATTCAATATGGTTTAGATGTATCAAATCGTCGTATATTATTTGATTCAGATGAAATAAAAGCAATAAAAAAATTCGGTGATCCAGGTTTTGAATTACTTGGTTTTAAAAGTCTTTCATGTTTATCACCACATCATTATGTAAAACCAGGTCATTTCATTTATCCCGATGAAAAATATGTTGAAGGAAGTTCATGTTTATTTAATGCTCTATTAAAAAAATGTTTAGAAAAAAAAATGTTTATTCTATGTCAATTTTCAGCTAGACGAAATACACCACCACGTCTTGGTAACAAAAAAAAAATAACCGATAGTCATGTTTTATTTTTTTACATTTATTTATTTATTTTTCTTCAGTTGCACTTATACCACAGGGTGAAGAAATGAATAAAAGAGTTAAAAATGATCGTTTAGCATCGAACGGTTTTCATGTTCATTATTTACCATATGCTGATGATATACGTACATTACCTAAAAATGATACAACACGTGCAGCAAATGATGAAGTTGATTTATTTAAAAATGTTGTACGTGGTTTAAAATTTAAATATCGTGCAGATAAATTTGAAAATCCAGCATTACAAACATTATGGAGAAATATTGAAGCAACAGCTTTAAATAAAGGTGAACCCGATGAATTTATTGATTTAACAATTCCAAGTGTAGAAAATCAAAATCGAAAAGTTGCAGGATATATTGATGAACTTAAACAAATGATTTTTCCACCTGGTTATGTTATGGGTGCAACAAAAAAATCAGCAGCAAAACGAAAGGTTTGTTTAAATTTGTTTAAAAGATTGAATTGAGATATATTAATTATTGTAAAAAAAAAACTTGAAATTTATCATCCGAGATTACTTGTTGATGATAATGTGATATAGATTTGATTTAGACATTATTTAATGATCGTTTTATCTATTATTATTGCTCTATATTCAAAACTAGTGTAAAAAAAAAACGAATGTGATTTGTATTTCTTTTTTGTACTTTGAAGTGCTTCTATAGGTTTCGTCAACAAACAAATGAATGCCATAAATTTTTATTTTTTTTGAAAAGTACTAGCGTACGTCATTTACTTTTGATAGAATTCTTTTATCTGTAGAAAATTTTATTTTCAATAAGAAAAGTTTTGAAGATCAAAATATGATTGTCAGTTTCTCGAGGGTAAGATCTCTGAAAAACCAAAATTTTTCATCTCCTAGAATTTACAATTAGCAAGAATGATTGACCAAACAATTATCTACAAATTGAAAGGTTCGATATTTTTAAGCCAAGATACATAAACAACTTTACAAAAGGCACAAAAAACGTGTTTTCATACAAAATAATGACGTACACAATTATTTGCTTTATCATTCTGCGTCATTCAAATAGGATCATAATCATTGTAAATTTTACAAGTTGAAAAACTACGTACGGGAGTGGTTTGTTTTTATGTACTTACTCGCCCACAGCTACATCCAGGGCAAACACCGTTTATCTTTATGTACCATTTGATAGATTCTCATGACTGAAAGCTACTCCATCATTTAACTGTCATAGTCACAAGTTGATAAAAATTTGTTAAATTACGATTCTGCGCATCTTGTGATGTATTTTTCAAAATTTCCAAAAATATCACAAAAGATTCTTTTCTTATAAGTCAATGCTATGATTCAAAAATACATTTAAAATATGACTAGGTCTTAGCTCTGTGAAATATCAACGAGAACTTTAAAAATATAATAGAAACCGACAATACAAAAAAATGTTCTATCTATTGTTGCTAAATGCTTTACTTTTAGCATCAAACTTGATTAACCTAGATTAACACAAACCTTTAAGTGTCTACAGGCAATCGTCGGGTGATTGAATCTATGTAATTTTTCATTGACAAAAAAAATAGAATAAAGATTTTCGTAGAGCAAAAACATTCTCTATTGAATGGTATGAAAACAAACTCTGAAAAATGTTTTATTCTTTATGGGCCAATCTATATAATAATTAATAGAATTTTTTAAGATTATTTATCTAATTCACTTAAAATTTGGTGATAGACACATGTCTTACATGTATTATACAAAAAACGAAATAAAATTTATCTTTATACAGATAAAAATAAAATTTATCTTTACACAGATAAAAATAAATTCTATTTTATCAGCGTACTTTTTACGATCGTCATTTATTATGCGTATATAGTAACAAATTCAATGATATCAGCATTATAAAGTATTTTTGCGTACAATTACGACTTATAAATTATTAACATAAAATTTTCTTTTAATAGGTTCCTTAATATTTTAAAGTATTAGGATGAAAAGAATAATAAATAGTTCAATAAATCTATATTTATATATATTATGAAAAAAAAATAGTTGAATAATTCTTTTTTACGAACGAATATGATGAGTATTATTTATTGTTATAATAAGTTGATTTTCTATCTTTTTTGTTTAATCTTCTTCATTTTTTTTTATTATTAATTATCTTAAGTGTGAAACAAATGGTTCACCTGGCAGTGCAAAAAAATCAAAAGATGATGAAAATATTGATGTTGAAGCTGCAGCAAAGAGTCATCTGGTATGTCAAAACAAAATTCACATGGAGAAATTATTTTTATTTTTGTTTTATTTTAGTTAAGTAAATTAACTATACCTATATTGAAAGATTATTGTAGAGATAAAAAATTAAAAGCATCAGGTACTAAAAAACAAGATTTTATTGATGTTATTCAATCACATCTTGGTCTTGCTCAATAAAAGAATCAGATAATTATGTTGCAAAAAAAGTTTTTTTTTTCTCTTTGTTAGATATAGAATACATGTTTCCTGTTGTTGTTGTTGTTATATAAAAATTTTGTTAATGACTTCAAAAATAATAATGTTTGTTATCTTGTTATACCATTTGTTAAAACATATATACATACAATGAAATTAACAATTTAAAATCCATGTTTTTGTTTTTTTTTGCGCCTAGTTACATGCACTACCCATGCGTTGTTTGCCTTTTATGTTCTCAATAATAAAACGCAAGTAGTTCACACACGCATTACACATATAGGCATATCCCTAGTATTTTTCTTTTTTCCTTCTATTTACATTCAGCTCGTAGCTATAATAAATAGATGAATACCAAGAAGCAATTCAAAATAGCATTTGATAAAAAGAGAGAGAGAAAGAAAGAAAGAAAGAAAGATAGAGATAGAACAAGGCATATAACAACACGAGAAGAAAAAAAAGAAAACAAAAAAAAAGGACGGTCGAGATTTGATCCTTTGTCGATCACTTTCATCTGCTGTTAATCACCGTGACATTGGAGGTTTTATCTATTCATATAAGTGCATGTGAACTTTTATTTCACTTGTTCCACTTTTTGTTTTTTGCTTGTTTTTTTTAAAATTCAGATTTAACTATGTCGAATAGTAGTACTAAAACAGCAATTGAATCAGCACTAATTGCAGACCAAGGTCCATGGGCATCTGTTGGTGAACATCCAAATGCAATAACGAATCGGTAAATATAATAATACAATAAAGTATTGTTATTATGATTTGGGTTTTTGTATTCAGTTTTTATACATATGAACGTGTTGAAGAAATTGTTGCATTTATTCAAAATATTGTTCCAACTAAACCTGAAATAGCTATTATATGTGGTTCTGGTCTTGGCGGTTTAGCTGAACTAGTTGTCAACAAAATTGTTATTCCTTATGCTGACATTCCACATTTTCCGAAATCAACAGGTTCAATTAAAAAAAATATTTTTACTTATTAAAAATTAAATAAAAAAGTCTCTTTTTTTTCTATTAGTTGTTGGTCATCGTAGCAATCTTGTATTTGGAGCATTGAATGGAGTTTATGTTGTTTGCATGCAAGGTCGATTTCATCCTTATGAAGGATATACTACTGCCACAGTAAATAGAAATCAAATTTTCCTATTAAATATAAGAGAATCTTGATTAACTTTGTATTTTATTGACATATATATAATCCCGGAAATGAATAGTGTCAGGCTGTATTTTAAACGCCTTGTCACTATAAAAAAAAGATATTTTAAACAAAAGAATTATCACATATTCTCAAACCATTGAAGTTTTCTATCAACTTGTATAGTTGTATTTTAGGTTTTGTCTATACACTAGAAAATAAATCAAATACATTGAAAATACGTTCGTCACGAGATTCCTACGAATTGAATTTTGTCACTGTTTTCTCAATACTTCTGTGAAAAAATAACTCTATATTCTAATAGAACTTGAAAGTCGCCATATATTTATTTTGCCTTGCATTTATATACTGTAATAAATAAATGCAAAAGCATTGAAAAATATGCAGAATCATAGAGAATTTCAAACTCTATTAGAATATATAATTACATTTTTTTTTTGAAAAGATATTTCTCTAGTGGTAAAAAAACTAGAGCAAGCAATGACAAGATTAAATTCGTAAGAATCTATTTTAATACAGGCACTTTAATTGCACTTGATCTTTTTTTCTATTATATAATCAGCGACTAAAATATTAATATAAACACTGATAGACAACTTTAAGAACTTTCAGAATATGAGTTATGACAATATCTTTTTATAGTAATGATATGTTTAAAATATAAGTTATCACCACTTATTTCCAGTAGTATATGCCAGAAATTATAATTTTATCTAAAATACAATAACAAATTATATGCTTTAACTTTCATGACAAAAGAATAATTTAGATAATTAAAAAACTTTTCTTATTTTCTATTTTTAGTGTGCTTTTCCAGTACGAGTGATGCGCATGCTTGGAGCACATACATTAATTGTTACTTGGTTGGATTTTTTATATAATTTTTTTTTTTATTCCTAATTTGTTTTTGTTTTTTTTTTTTGCCTAATTAAATTTTAGTGCTGCTGGTGGTATTAATAAAGATTATAGTGTTGGTGATATAATGTTAATTAAAGATCATTTAAATTTTCCTAGTATGGCTGGTAATAATCCACTTATTGGTCATAATGATGAACGGTAAGAAAAATAAATTAATAATAAATTTATCTTTCTTTTTTTTTATTTTTTTAATTAAATTTTATTTTAGATTTGGTAAGATAATTTTATTTTCGAATTTTTAATTTTCATATGTAAAATTATTCAAAAAGGACCACGTTTTCCACCTGTTGGTCATGCATATGATCGTCAATATTCATCTCAAATGAAACAAGTTGCTAAAAAGCATAATCTTCAATTACGTGAAGGAATTTATTGTGCATTAGGTAAATAAAATTTATATTTTTAACGATAATAATAATATCACATTTTTTAAGGTGGACCTTGTTATGAAACAATAGCAGAAATCAACATGCTTAGATTACTTGGTTGTGATGCTGTTGGTAAGAAGAAAAATTTTTTTTTTCTTTCCATTTAATAAAAATAAAGAAAAAGAACTTATTTCATATAATAATAAGGAAAATGAAGGAAGGAACTTTATCATAATTTTCATTAAACCGGAATAAATCTTATTTATTTTCTATTAGAAATTAACTTCCGGAAATTATCTTTTTTTTTTGTTTTTTTGTAGGTATGTCAGTAGTGCATGAAGTCACGTTAGGAGCTCATTGTGGTTTCCGTATGCTTGGTCTTGCCTTAATAACAAATAAATGTTTATCAGAATATGATTCAACAGTTGAAGCACTTCATGAAGATGTTATTCGTATAAGTGAATTAAAAGCCAATGAATTACAACAACTTATATTGGATTTTGTTGGTCTTCTTAAACAAAATAAAAAATAAAAAAAATACATTTGTTCTTTGATCTTTCAACGACAAATAACAAAAATTAAAACTATTGCGTTACAGAAAAAAAGACTCTAATATGAAAATCTTTTTTCCGCCCTTATATTTCAAACACATGTTCAGATGATGTTCAATCAATCCATTTTTCGTTCGTTTGTTTTTTTCTTATCCTTTTGTTAAAAAACCTGGTAGTGGTTAGTGAGCAATATATATTTATATACATATATTTTTCTCTTCTATTTCTTTTTCTGTCTGTATTACACGATCTGATTGTGAACAAAACATTTTTTTTTAAAATTCATGTCATCTATACTAAACATTTTCATTGATATCTGTTTATTTTAAGGAGAAAAGAAAATTATGAGATCTTATTCTATTTAGATGAGTTTAACAAATGATAAAAAAGAAATAATAAATCAACAATTGACAAATGGTAGATGATTAAAAACAAAACAAAACATATATATGTTTTGTTGATTTTATTGTTTTTGAAATCATTTAATTCGATATTATTTTAGCTAATTCATTATTTCGTCGAAGATTTAATACTCTTTCATCAGTTATAACAAATCGTTTATGGCTCAATGCTCATACAAATTATGAATGTGATGTTTTATTAACATTTCCAGCTAATATTGATGATTATGCTGTTATTTGGTTTCTTGAACAATTACTTCTACTAGCGCCAGATATTCGTATATCGATTAAATATCATTTTACGACCGGTGAAAAAAAAGAATATTTCAATATTTTGAATAAACTAATATAAATAAAATATATTTTTTTTCTTTTATTATTTATAAATAGGTGTTTATGGATTTTATGTTACATTTACTTATGAAAGGTGAATATTTATTACAGCTTATATAAGCAATAGTACATGAAGAATGAATAATAATGATATGCATGTCTGAATTTTAAAGTTGCATGAACAATTTTTAACTGCATATATATTGAATTGAAATCTTAATATGTTTCTTAGAATAAATTATTTCGATAAGTGTTCATCAATAAAGTACATCCAAGTAAAAATCGTATTTGTTGATCTCGTACACTTATAAGGGAATTTGTCCGACTGATAAATCGTTTTCGAATCCAGATTTTATGCATTGTGTAGACCCAAATGAGCTATGAATATCCTGAAGAAAAGACGTCGTGCCATTAGTTTATTGTTGCATTTTTATAGTATTTTTTAAATGAATGTCATGTTCGCACTCAGAATAAACTTGTAACTGATAACAGTACACAGTCAGTCCTTTATAGATTTTTTCGAGTTTTCGCATGTTCTTTTTTTCTCTGCAGAAAATTGATCATAGAAGTGTTGTTTTTCGCAAATCAAACTATTTTTATTAATATCAATGACTATTTCTATTAAATGAATATTCATCAAAATATGCTTAATATATTTTATCAACTTACTTCGATATCAAGTTATATTATCAAAACAAAATATAAATCATTGTTCATTATTATAATTTATCATATATTTATTTTCATGTCGTATTATTTATATCATATCTTTCGCAGAGATATAAGAGATAACAAAGTAAATCTGTTGTGACAGGCAAAGTACATACATAGTTGATTCATAATTTCTAAGTCAGTATACAAAATTAATATAGAATTTGTAGTTCTATGGAATTTTCTGTTCATTAATAGATACCAACAAAGAGAAAACTTATGTAAATAGATAGGAGAGAAAAATCTTTCAGCGCAATCCTTGCGAGACTAAAATATTAAACATAAGAAACTATTATTAACTATTGTAACAAACCTGATCATCTATATGACAGACCATGATGAAACCAAAAGTCAACTAGGCTGTTACGGACGATTGGTTCAATATTCTCGCGATATACTTCAACACTCTGTAGCAATCATATTTCACGGAAATACTATAATAATGAAACAGGAGCTTTTTGTTATTTCTGTAATGATTCAGAGGTAGATATGACTAATCGATAGGTTAATTTGACTGTTATGGAATGAGAAAAATTAAAAATGACTCATGCCGGTCAGACCAATATCGGTAAGACAAAAACTCTACCAGTTGCACTCTGCCTCAGAAACACCAGGAAAACTGATTTTTGAATCTTGACTTGAAACTTGGTATAGGGAGAGGCCTTAACTAGAATAGGTTTTTGTGAATGTTTCAAATCTTGTCGCTGTTCCTATCCTAAGATACAACTATAGTAACAGGGTGTCTTTTACATCGCTCATATAAATCGATAGATTTGCTGTACTTATTTCAAGATAGAAGCAAATCAAAAGACCTAAAACTACTCTCGCTAAGGCCTGCCTCTATGCAAAGTTTCAAGTCGAAATGCGAAAATCAGTTTTTCTGCTACCACGGTATTCCTCTTAAAAAATACCGTAAAAGCATAGTATCTCCACAATAATAGCTCTTTTCAGAGTATTCATAGTTCATGTGTGTCTACACAATGCACATAGTCTTGACTCAAAAGTGACTGATCAGTTGGTGGACTTCCCTTGTTAGATGTTTCGTTTCAGAAATTTTTTTCGCAACAACATTTTTGCTCAAATACATTTTGTATATACGTTATTTATTCGTAGATGATGTATTATAGAATTCGACGAAATTACTCTTTCGCAAATGCTAATCAAAATCAAATAACCGAATGTTCATATACGTCTGATTTCTTTTCTTTTCTTGAACATCCTTTAAGGACGGCTCCTGATTGAGAATTTTCGATCGATGATATAGGCATCGTTGATAGTGTAACATTTAGAAAACATTGAGTTTTTTGTTTTAATTTCATTTTATAATAGCTTATTAGTAAAATCAGTTATTCTTTGTGCTTTAAGCGAAACTCAGACGTTGTTTGTAGAGAAAGAGGGCTAAACTTCTTCTAGCCCATATCTGATTACACTACTAGCAGAGGTTGATATAATGTCGAATAGACTTGTGAAGTATTTTTCATGGCATTGAGTCGAATTTTTTGTACAAATTTTTTAAAGTACTCATATTTCTCAAAATTCGTAGATTTTTATTCTGGATTTTGTTTTCTTATCGTATAGACTTTTGAAAGGTGCTGATGATCTTCAATTAGAAAAACCAATAAAACAAGAATTTGGTGGTGGATATAAAATATTTTTTTTTGATGAATTAGAATTTTATGAAGGTAAAAAATAATTTTATTATTTATGTTTAGTAAATTTTTGTTTGTTTATTGTTTTAATTTAGGTGTTCAAGATGAAGATAAATTTTTTACTTCACAAGAACGACAATTAATCGTTCGACATCTTCTTTTTTCAATAAAAATTATTCAAAAACAAGTAATCAGTGGAATTGAATTTAAAATTGATCAATCATTAAGTAATTTCATGCATATTTCAATAGAGTTTTTTTTTCTCTTTTCATTCGAAATCAATTTCTCTTTCTTTAGTACAACGTAGTTTAGAAAAGCATTTAATTCGACAAGTTATTCCATTACATAATAAACAAACATTAAATCATCTTCGTGACACATGGGTTTGGCCACACACATTTTTTAAACGTCAACCTATTGGTAAAATATACCATTGAGTTTTTTTTTGTTAGAAATTATTATTATTTTTAATCATTTCTAGAAGATATTCGTCAATATTTTGGTGTTAAAATTGCTCTTTATTTTTGTTGGCTTAGGTATTTGAACAAAAGAAAAAACAAATCATTATTCTACAGTTGCTTCACAAAATTGATCATAAAGATTTAATTTCGATTTTTTTTTCTGTAATAGTAACTTGCATAAAGAATTCAAATTACTAATTGAATTCTTTATGTCAGTTACTACTATAGAAAAAAAAAAAACTTGAAATTAAATTTGTATGATTAATTTTTGAAGTCAATGTATACAATTATTTATGATATAATATTTTATTTAGTTTTTATACAAAAGCACTTTGTTTTCCGGCTTTCTATGGTATTATTATTTGGTTAAATACAGGTCGAAGTCAGGTTTGTAGATTTTTTTTTATAGATATCCATCAGGTTTTGTATTATATTTATCAAGCATTGTCGAAAAAATTTCACCCGGTGACATATCTATTGTACGAATAATTGGTTGAATAGTTTGATTATTTATTGAACTTTGTTGTGATAGATCTTTTTGATGTATAGAAATATTTGTTTCGTCATCATAATTATCGTCATCATTATTAAAATGTATTGTACAATTTTCATTATGAAATTGAACTTCATCATGTAGAAGTGGTTTGATTTCTTCGACTGTTATACGAGAACGTTCAAGTTCAGAAATCCATACTCTAAAAAAAAGGCATCATATTTTATTTTTCGAAAGTTTTGAATTTTGAAAATAGAAATATATTTTTTTGAATTTAAAATGTTTGTTTTTTTTCTTCATATAAATAGATAATTGATGCATAAGAAAAACAATAAGAAATAAGTTTAATAATATATTTGTGTTCAAACGGGTCATATTATATTACGAAATTTATTCCGATAGTTCAATTCCTGAAACTGAGCTATGCGAAAAATTTTACTCTGTTTTAGGAACTGAACTATTTAGCCAATGAGTGCAGTTCAGAGAATATTTTCAACGAGTCTAAACTTGTTGATTTCTATTTCTAACAAAAAATATACAGCATACGCGACAGGCAATGAATGTATAAAAACATAGATAGTAACATCAAGATATTACTAACTAGAGATCTCAATGGACTGGGCCAAAAAATATCGATCTAAGGGTTAGTGACTTTTGACCCAGTTCAGCCCATTGAGATCTGTGTTACTGACTGACAATATCGTTCATGATGAACGCTGAGATGTTTATTGTCTAAATAAGTCATATCTTAAGTGTTAATTAGTAAAACTCTCTGGTAAGTAACAACTATCGATTAAAAAAAAAGCATTAAACATTACTTCTATTCATTAATGATGATTACTTGAAAAATAAACAAATGTTTGAATAAAACAGTACTGCAAATTTAGATGATCTAAATGTGTGCTTCAACGTTTTAGATTTTGTTTTTCAGTA